TGAGGGTCTGGCTGGGTGCAGGGGTGTTCTGGCTCTGCGTAGGTGTCAGCTCTGGGCTCCCAGGAGCAGCTGTACGAGTAGGTGGCTGGCAGGGGGGTTTGCCCCAGCAAGGCTGACCCCCAGCTCGCTCCACAGGTCATCTGCGGTGGACGAGTCGTGTCAGTCCCTACTGTCCCACTCGGACATCAGCTATGACCGCACTGAGGACGACGTGGTAAGGAGCGACCCACTGTGAGTCCCAGGGTTTGGCTTCTCCCCAGCAGCAAGGGGGTGGTTTTGCCCCACTCCTGCAGTGGGGCAGCCCCTTTGCATGGCCATGGTTGGGGGCGGGCTGCTGTTGGAGCTGGTGCACGGATGCTGGGGGTGCCCCTAGCCTCCCTGCTGCCTTTCAGGATGTTGATATGACGGTGGTGCGGACCCTGAAGCGCAAAGCCCAGGAGAGGCAGGTACGAGGGAAATGCTGGGATGCAGCAGCCCTGAGGGCTGGTGCTGAGGTGGGGTCTGTGCCCCTGCATGGGTGAGGATCCCCTGGGTCTGCACTGCTCTCCTGCATCGTGCCCATGGGACCCTCTGCCTGCACAGGTCAGCAGCCCAGCCTGGCCATGCAGGGTTAGGGCACTCAGATACTTCTCCATCTGCACACGGGAGGCTGCAAGGAGCCTGGCAGGGGGTTTAATTTATTGATGCTGGGCTGGGAGCGTCGTCTCTCAGCAAACCTCCCGTGATCAATAGAAACTCCATTACCTTCCACCGTGGCCCAGCTGGGCTCCTCAATAATTCATCCCCACATCCCACACCCCGCTCTGCTCACACCTCTGCATTGCAGGCCTGGCCTGACCTCCCCCAGCCCCAGGGCTGGCTCCGACCCACATGGGGGGCCTGGGTGCCCACAGTGCCTAGTGTGGGGCAGGCGATGCCGGGGGGCAGGGTGAGACCGGGACCTCTTGTGGGGCTGAGACAACTTGGCTTGGGTGGTGGGTGCTCTGGGGTGGGGGGACAGAGGCAGGGAGGGGGTCCCTGCCTACCCTTCACCCCATCTGCTCTGTCCCCAGCGCGTGTCCCTGGCCCCTCAGATCGGTCCTGTGGTGGTGGCGAAGCGGCACCGGTCTTCTGTGGCACCCCACAATGCTGTGAGTAGGGACCCCAGTGTGCCCTGGGCAGGGTGTTGCCAGAATGCAACATTGAAACCTTCAGTCCTGCAGGCCTGTGGGTGCTGTGGGGTCTGGGGGTGCTCAGCTGTCCCCTCTGGGTGCCTGTGCCCTGCAGCCTGTACCCCCTGGTCCCAGTGGGGACAGCATCCCTGGCTGTGCTGGACCGCAGGGATGGGGAGCAGGCAGAGCAGAGCTCATGGGGAGACATTAGAGCACCGTGGGGCTGCAGCCAGGCATGTTCTCACTGCCCCCCACCTCAGCAGGCAAGTGTCCCCCCTGTGCCCCCTCCTGATGAGGTTCCGGGTCCTGCCAGCAGCCTCCTGCCCGCTGTTCTGCTGCCACGACGCCACTCTCGCCAGGGACACCGTGTCTCCACGCGTGCAGGTTACGGCAAGGCCTGGGGAGGGGGCTCATGGGTGGTGTGGGACCAGCCTCAGGGTGCTGCTGTCATGGGGGAGGGAGGGGATCTGCTGGAGGAATGCTTGTCCCCACCATGGAGGTACCGGGGTCCTCTGCACATGCTAAATGCCACTGTCCCAGGGCAGCTGGGATGCTGCAGGGGCTCCCTGGGAGGTGGGAAGCCTCCCCACATCCCAGCCAGGAGCTGGGGCAGTTTGCCTTTCAGGACACCCTCCACTGCCTTCTCTCTTTGCAGAGCTGACCACGGTGTGGGGCACCAGCGAGGATCTGGGCTGCCGTGCCCCAGGGCAGGAGAGCCACACCGAGGGAGGCTCT